AGAAATACTGAGGCAAGATTTTTATTATTGTGTCCCGTTCCTCCTTCCATACTAAGAAATGTTGTCATCTGCAGGAATCTCTTTCCCTTTGTTGGGATCAGGGGCATAGTGAGAAATGAGGCCGATTGTAAAAAATAGTAACCGTCAGAATAGACCTAACGTACAAAAAACACTGTTTGCGACATGCACTGGGGAAGATTTATAACAACTCTAACTTATTTTTCTTTACTCAAGAAGAAATGCAACCAACAGCAGCATAGAAAATCAATATTAAATACCCAATTGACATGTGCATTGATGCTCCTGGGGTCAAGAGGAGTTATGTTTTGGAAGGAAGAACACAAAATTGTTCAACATTGTGAAGCATCAAAAATAAAAGAGCCGTAGATATACCCTCATCAGAGAATCAAAGCCCAGTCTTGCTTATGCCAACAGATACCTGGCAAAATATATCCTGTCATTACTTGACACATGCTTATTTCTGAAATAATTAGGGCCGCTAGGGGATAATCTTCTGAAATTCAATTCAATGTTTAGTTAGGGTTTCCTAGAACCTAAACACTAGAAATCATTTTACATGAGCATTTAGTCTGCTTAAGCTACTTATGACTATTTCTGACATTGATGTTCCATCCCCTGCCTGTGATGAATTATCACGAGTAAGTAATTAAGCAGACAGACATGAAAAACCAAATCTAGGAGTTTAACAGAATAACTGGGCATGGTAATAATGAACCAGTTCTGCCCTGATTTGCTGAGTGAACTTGCACAAGCTATATAAGAGCATCAGCTATTCTCCCAAGAGCATCCATTTTTCACAAAATGGAAGTAATACTGATAGTGATATACCAAAGTAGAGCCTGTGGCAATATACCCGGAAAGGACTACTATATGATTGCAGTATTGACACTGTTCTGAGCGCCCATACATGAGATTCCCAAAATGAGAAATACGCCACCACTCTCTTCAGAGAGCCCACACATTATTAAAGGGGGCATACAGGTAAAGTAGCAATTGCAATATGGTAGAAGGAGTGAAACAATAAAATCAGGTGTAAACTAAACAGAATACAGTCAGGAGTACTTCCCTGGTGAGAGGTGTGATCATAGATTTTTCAGGTGGAGGTGATGTTTGAATTGGGGAGGTTTGTGGTCATGGTAAATAGGGAGAACAAAGCAGAAAGTCCACAGTTAGGGCAGATGTGGAAAATGTGCCAAAAGAAAGAGTATGTTTTCCGGGCACAGAAAACTGAAAGAATTCATGGGTCCCAGAGCTCAAGGCAGGGCAGTTGAGGTTTCAGGGCTGGTCATGGAGAATAATGTATGCAAATAAAGGGAACTAAATCTCAGCCTACTAGAGAGAGGGAGCCAGTGAAGGTATTTAGGCAGGAGACAATCAATTTTGCATTTTAAGGAATTCTTTTTGGTAGTAAATTAATAAGTGGATCAAGAGAGGGGAAGGCTCGAGGCAGTCAGGCATTTACAGTAGCATTTACAGGGAAAAGGTGAGGCACTGAATGAAACAGTAGCAATGGTAGCAAATACCCTGAGAAATGTTTAGGAAGGAAATGAATGTGTTTGGTTTCTGACTCATTACAGAGATGCCCATGCCATCAACCTTATTAGCAAAGGCTTGAGGGACCTTCCAGTGTGAGGTGATGGACAGGGATGTCTTTGCATTTTGATTCTCAGGGAAGAGGCAGGGGCTAAAGTTATAATTTGGAAACAAGAGTAGGTTGGGTAGTGAAAACCATAAGGTTGCAAATAGAATGAGAAAAGTCATGGAGAATGGGTAAATCCTTCAGGATCCTTTAGAGCAGCAGAACTTAAAAATAGCAGAAATCGCACCTATGAAAGAGGCAGAGGGAGGACAATCAGATAGCTAGGTAGCAGGAGATCCAGGGCAGAGAGTCCTGTCAGAGAGAGTAAAGGAGTAGGGAGATTCAAGGAATGGTGGATACTATCAGAGAGCTTACTTGAGTGATCAAAAATTATAAGGATTGAGGAACATCTATTAGAGTTGATAATTCTAGAAGCCACCTGGTTCCTTTTCCCAGTGCAGTCAGTTGAGGTTAGGGGCAGAAGCAAAGCCTACTGTGGGTTGGACAGTGAATAGCAAGTTATAAGTGGTGACACTGAGTGAAAACTGAGCTATCAGGAATATCAGATGTAAGGAGAGAAAGCATGAGAACAGAGTAGATGGGGTGGAAGGAGGAGAGTTTTGCTTTGGACACGAGTGGGAGAGGCTTGAATATGTTTACTTCCTGAAGGTTATGGACCATTATATAATAAATTGGACAGCGAGAAGAGAGAGGGGATGTTCCATGCAGCAAGGTTCTGCATGAGTGGCAACGGGAACGGTGATGTAGGGGGAGGAATTGACCTTGGGCAGAAAGACATTTTTTTCTTTAATTAGAAAGGTGGAGGAAAGGATAAATGTAGAATGAAGTAAAATAGCCAGTGAAGGTGCCAAGAGAGAGGAAGCCAGGCCTAATAAAGGTGAAGCCATCAGAAGATGGATGACAATGGAGAGAGGAAGGGTGAGAAGAAGAGAGGAATAGGACATGGAGCCAAGTAAAACAGAAAGAAAATTAATTGCAATTGGCCCTGGAGTTGGAAAGAGTTCTTCGACAGAGCTCAGCAGCTGGCCTCTGGTTTAGAAGGACAATTTCTATACTTGATCCAAGATTAGGGTTTTGTAGGCAAGCACTGGTGGGGAGGGAGAAAAGATTGACAGAGATCTGGTTTATAGCATGTTGATTTGCTTTTAGGTTAAACAAGAGGGGTTTTGTTTAGGGAGATGAAAGTGGGTGTTACATTTTTTTCTTGAGACTGACCACATACCAAGAAAAGGCAGGGTACTTCTACAGGTCTATGAACCCCAATGGTCCTTATTCCCAGGCTTGAAACTGTTGCCCACTGGTCCACTGACTTTCTTAGCAAATTATAGGTTGCTGATTTTCTACAGGAAGGATATGGAAGAGGAGGTGGTCAGACATTTAATTCCTATATTATGCACTTCAGTATGACTGTTTCATGTTGGATCCACTTTGCTTGGGCCTATGGATTCACTAGATTCTGCAAAGAGAGTTTGCACTTAAACATTTCTTTTACTGTTTTTCAAAGTTGTTAACTAATTGTTTAAAAATGATTCTTCTGGTTGAAATAGCCTCACACTGAAATGAACTTGGTCATTCTGCCAAAGATGTTTAGAGGCAATTCTAACTGTAATTTTCAGGGCTAAGAGATGCCAGCAATTCAGCAATAGGCAAAGCCACTTTCCGAGAACAGTGGGAGGAAGGGTCAAAGTAGGATTTTGACACCAGCCTTTGTTCCAGCAACTCCCAAGTTTTGGAAGCAGGCAGTACAGGCACACACAGGAACTTGTGGGACTGGGAATAGGACAGCCTAGTTAAGCCCTGAGGAATTTTATATATACGGAGGATCTGTTGTGGCAAGAGCACTAGACTGGAAGTCAGGAAACCTGGGTCCTATTCAAAGCAAATCACATAAAAGATCTTGGCCTCAGTGTCTTCATCTGAAACAAAACAAAACAAAACAAAAACATGATGCTGTGGACTGTACCAGGGGAGGCAAAATAGTTAAAAGCCAAATCCTGACTCCTTGTACCTGCTTTATATTTCAGGGACTCCCATGAAATTTTGTTTAACATGTAGTATCTGATGCTAAAATAAATTTAAAAACTCTTAGCTAGAATGTGTTCCCTAAGACTTGTCTATTCTAAAATTCCAATATTCTAAATGGGAATAACCTATGGTCCTACTTGATGTAACTCTCATGAGTCTAATAGTTTTAATTATTGACACTCAGCACGTTTGTTATTTGATTTTGAAAACAGCTTCATGCCAACCACGACTTGGGATTTCTTAGCTTGAGTCCGTGGATGGATTTCTGGGCTCTGTGAAACCCCTAAGCACACATGCAGGACTTGGTGGGTATGGGCACACAGAAAGATTTCAAAACTTTCACCAGATCCTCAACAAGTGGATGGAAGCAGTAAATGAACACAAGTGATCCCCAGCTTGAAGGGAGTCAAAGACATAGAACATCAATTTTAGGGATAATGGGTGCTGAACTGGCATTTTCCACTTTAAAAAGTCAGCTAAACATTTCACTTTCATGCTACACAGTCGGTAACATTCACAAGAAAATTGCACAGGTCTTTCCAATAAAGGGAGGAGAAAAGACCAAGACATACTCTGAGAAAAGCTGTCCGGATCGCAAGTTGACACACAGATTTAAATAGAACGTATAGTTCCTACAATGAGAACAACTTCCCAGATCCCCAAGATTACATGGCCAGTATGTCTTCACAACATTGTGGGCCGGGGACAGGGTCAGCAGGGTCTGGTGATGGTGCCGCCTTGCCCTGAAGGTAAGTCTTCTTAAAAAGATGTATTCTAAAGTAATAAGGAAGCATAAGAGTAGAGGAAAACAAACATGTTTGGCCAATTCAATAACATCTTGCCTTGGAAGACTTCTGTTTTCCTGAGTGCATTTGCAGTTCTATTTGGCATCAAATATTTGTGTGATTATTAGTGTTATATTCAATAGCAGACATTTCCGTAATCTTCTAAGTCCCGGGTCCAAGGCGGATACCCTGGTGGGGAGAATAGAAGCACTTATCTGAGGCAGCAGCAGGAAAGGGGGGCAGAGATGGGCCTGTAATGGAATATCAGGTGTCAGAGAAACGCCTCCTGACACATTAAACCAATCCAGGGATTGGACACAGACCCATTCACAATGCCGGGCGAGCCTGGCTTCTGGGATGTGGACCCGGGACCCACTCGCGTGGCATAAACGAAGCCTCTTTCATAAACGGTTCGCTAAGTCAGACGCTGTGCGTCCCCGAGCAGATAGACAACCGGGCGTGAAAAACAAGACAGACCAAACGCAGTCACAACACTTAGAGCTGAAAGTTGACTCGAGATACTGTAAGAACGCTCGGAATGTAACACGCTTGCTCTCCTTTCATTTCAGATGCTGCACAACAAACACGTCATGGTCCGCGTGGGAGGAGGATGGGAAACGTTCGCGGGGTATTTGTTGAAACACGACCCCTGCCGGATGCTGCAGATCTCCCGTGTGGATGGCAAAACGTCCCCCATCCAGAGCAAATCTCCAACCCTTAAGGACATGAATCCAGATAATTACCTGGTGGTCTCTGCCAACTATAAGGCTAAGAAGGAGATTAAGTGAAACTAGTTGGTCAGGACAAGGGGACTCTCAGAATGGCCTGTATCCACTTCTCCAGGGTAGTCAGTTTAGTTCACATGCTCTGAAAATTACTTTGGAAAAAGGTGTCACCCACAGGAAAGTGTCATCATATTGGAAAAGGTTCACAGAGTAGCACTATTTATTTTAATGCTTCTGTAGAAAATGACCTATGAAAAGGCATTCTAAACTCAGATTTAGATTAGACAAACTGGAGGCAAGTTATTCTCAACAGGCGAATACAGTATTTAGAAATACAAATCTAGCTAGAGGTAAAAAACAACAACCTGTTATTAGAAGAAGAAAAAATTTTTTTTTTAGGATTTCTAGATAAAACAGAAAGTGCCTGCTTTATGTCTACAGAGTAAAAGCACCCCAGACATTTTTTTTTAACTGCCAGATTTTTAACAAGTGACAATTAGTGTGATAATGTGCTACTAAAAACATCCAACAGCACTATCAGTAAGTACAGAGTATTCACAACAGTAAAACTTTACTGGAAAGGCCACTTTAGAAAAGTTTACATTCACTTGGAAGATTGCCTTAAAGTTTATCCCTTACCATGACCAAGTATCTGGGGTACTTTTGGAAGTTTTCAGTACACCCACTAGAGAACCGCTTATGAATTGCCCCACACATTCCTAAGAAACATGGCTGTGTTGAGGCTGACAGTGTCATTCACACACATAAGCTGACATACATTTATATTTTGACAGAGTAAATTGTACAGTCAAATGTTCATTGACTTCATGTTATTTGAAAGCATTCTTACTAAAATATATCTTTAGTTAATCCTACTTTGCTATGTTATCTAGTAAAGTCAATTCACTGTAGCTAATCATGTTACAGACTTATGTATACCCTTGTACACCCAGGACAGGGCTGTTTTGTACCCATAAACAGCAAAATATTGTCCTTGCTGATTCAAGAATTAAAGAGATAAATTGAAAAAAAATATGTCTCAATATCAATGCTTCATTCGGAAATGAAGATAATCTTCAAATGGCATCTTTCCCTGAGAGTTAAAGGAAAAGTCAAATTTTAGTTAGTTGGTACTTCCTGTACTGTGGGCCACTGAATGATGGTGTGTGTTCGTCTAAGCCAGTGGTTCTCAACCTTCCTAATGCCGCGACCCTTTAATACAATTCCTCATGTTGTGGTGACCCCCAACCATAAAATTATTTTCGTTGCTACTTCGTAACTGTAATTTTGCTACTGTTATGAATCGTAATGTAAATATCTGATATGCAGGATGTATTTAGGTGACCCCTGTGAAAGGGTCGTTCGACCCCCAAAGGAGTCGAGACCCACAGGTTGAGAACCGCGGGAGCGGAGTCTAGGTTTTTCCATAGGTGGCCCCTCAAGTGCTGCTACCTTGAGTATATATAGTCGGAGTTAATGTCATTTCCTCATTTTTCAACAACAAACGCCCACTTTTTAATTTTTTTCTCCAGAAAGTCAGGGAGGAAGTATCTGTCTGCCAGATGACCAATTTAATCAAAGCAGACACAACCTGTTAGTAGGGAAGTTGTTTTGTGTGTTTTTTTAAAAAAATATTAAATTGATTGGGGTGACATTGGTCAACATGAACATATAGGTTTCAGGTGTGGTTTCTTTGTTACAAGATCTGCATATTGCACTGTGTGTCCACCACCCAAAGGCAAATTTTCGTGTCACCTTATATTAGGACACAATATGGAAGTTAACAGGCATAGTGTAATTTGGTGCTGCTGGAAGTGGTAGTAATCCTGGGGGGAAAAAAAAAATTAAAGTTTTGTAGGAAATGAAATCACCTTGGAACAGTGAACAATTGTACTCTCTCAAAAAACAGATATTGAGTGATAGGATTTTTATGTTACTAAACTAACACTGAATTTCCCTGTATAGTAACTGGCAACAGTATTTCCATCAAAACTTTCTCCTGTGCTTAAATTTTTCCTGTAAACATATTTTTAATAATTAAAAATAATTTTGTTTAGTTAAAAATATCTAGGTTAACTAAACTATTAATCTCTTCATGAATTTTGTTTTCTGATGTTAACACCACAAATGTATTGTTACAGTACTGCAGTCAGAGTATGAGAGGGTCTCCTTGGGCTACCACGGTGTCAGAGGACTGTGTTCCTTTCTGAAGAGAGAATCCATTTCTTTGCCTTTTCTACCTTCCAGAGGCTGCCTGATTTCCTTGGCTCAGGTCCCCCTTCCTGTCTTCAGAGCAAACAATAGAATCCCACAATGATGCTTCTTTGTTTACATCTTTTTGACCAGAGGTTGGAAAGGTTCTCTGCTTTTAAGGATCCATGCGATCACCTAATCCGATATCATTTCCCCATGTTATGATCATTAACTGAAGCACATCTGCAAAATACCTTTTGCCATGTAATGTAACATGCTCCCCAGATTCCAGGGATTAGGATGTGAACATGTTTGGGGGAGAGTGGCATTATTCTTCCTGCCTATATCACATCATTTAAGTGTCACCAAGAACAGGGTGACAAATGACATTGGGGTCTAGCTGCTAGCTGGATGGCACTTGACACCAGGAATATGGACAATGAGACCACATTCAGAAGGAAATGGCCAAATGCAGATGGCTCTTACTGACTCCCTACTGAAAATTACTGTTCTTTTTTTCAAATTTGTTTTGGCTATTATACATGCTCAATCTCCATATAAATCTTAGGATCATCTTGTCATTTTCCCTGAAAAACCTTGCTGGGATTTTGCATTGAATTCATTGAGCAATTTGAGAATTGCCCTCTTGACAATATTGATTCTCCCAGTCTGTGAACATGCAATGTCTCACCGTTTGTCATAAAAAAAATTATTTCAGCAACATTTTGTAGTTTTTAGTTCAGATCTTTTACTGTTTTTCCTAAATATTTTATCCTATTTGATATTACGATTGGAATAATATTAATTTTCAGATTATTTTAACTTTCAAATAGAAATAGAATTGACCTTCATATATTTAGTATTCTGCAAACTTGCTTTACTCATTTTATCTTGCGTAGGAATTTTATCTTGTGTAGGAATTTTCTACATGAGACACTTTATATTCTTTTTAAAACCTATGCTAAATAGTTCTAATCTCCAACTAAAAAATTTAGAATGAGTAAATGGTACCTTAGGAGTTACTAGGTAGATTGAGGAGTTTAGGATAACTCCTTGACTTCTGACTTATGGGATGAAATAGATTCCAAGCAATAGCCTACAGAGAGCCAGTTTCTGTGTAGAACTAATTAGTTCCATTTGAGATAAGTTTGAAGTACTTACAACAGATTGCTCAAACCTGTTTTTATGGCTGGAAGACATTAACTCAAAACTACACAACTCAAGTATGGTGCTACAAGAAGAGACAATGCAATTCAGGATATAATAAAAATATCATATCCAGGTCAAGTGATTGATGAACATTCAGTTCTTAAACCACAACGATCATATTTGGAGGCAAGATTTGCAAGATGATGCATATCTAGAAGAGGGAGAACAAGACAATAAAAAGCCATGTCATATGAGAAATTTAAAGGGTTTGAGTTGTTGGGACAAAAACATCTCTGTGAAATCAGTATTTTTTCAGTCTGCTATATATACAAATGCCTGTCAGTGGCTTTTGAGAAAATTAAGGAAAATGGCCACAGTACCACATTTGAGCCAACTTAAAGCACATACAGTAGTCATGGGAATCTGAGATGCTTGCTTGGAGATGTTGAAGGAAATACACTTCAAACCTCAACACAGATGGGCATGCATATCTACTGACCTCTTACTGATTTAGTTATGCAGAAGTTATTATTCCAATTAAAATTGACAAGTTACTCTTTCTTCTAAGGCAGTGGTTCTCAACCTTGGCTGCACATTAGAATCACCTGGGAATCTTTTTAAAATTCTGATTTCTGGGCCTCATCCTCCAGGATTTTAAAGAGATTCCCAGTTGATTCTAATGTGCAGCCAAGGTTGAGAACCACTGTTCTAAGGGCATAGCATGATTCTTCAGCAAATAAACAAGTTGAACTATTGGAAGAGAAAAAGAAAATTCAAGTTTTATGCCAAATGCTCCCGGGGTACACCAAGGATGATAGCTGGACCCTCTTACAGTATTATTTCTCTAAGGAAAGAGGAGACTAATAATATTTCCTTTTTTGAGTATTGGAGAAGAAACATGCCTACTTATAATTCAGGGATTGTATGAACACACCAAACGACTCTTAGCTCTGTTCTCATGAATCCCAAAGAGATGAAAGCATCGCTGAAGTTAACCTAACCACTAACCCAAGTTCTAATTATTTAAGATGTAGTGAGATAAAATTTTGTTAAACAGAGAGAGCCAAGGCCAATTTTTATATGGGAAAAATGTATATTTATAATCCTATATGGCAATACAGAATTTATAAAAAAAAATTGTGTGGGAAAATGCAATCGGCAAAACAAGTGTCCCTCACATATAGATGCTTTAAAAATCATGCACTGTCAACAAAGAGGCCATGTAATACACAACTTTTTGTTACCAGCCATACTAATATAAATAGTTCGATGACTAGAATAAGAAAGCAGTGATTCAGGCATTTTACATTTTAACACAATAGTTACATATGCATTTTACTATTACATTTACATTTTACTAATTTGGTTGGGGTGTTTGGATGCCATATTAAGCATTATGTTTCCCTATTTAAACTATGAATTATGGTAAATTGGCTCCAAAATACGGTTTTCATTAGGAAGTGATGCATAACTTTATGAGGGAGATGCCCTGTACGTGGCTGCATCTGTACGTGTGTGTACAAATTTTCTTTAGTAGTAATTTAGTCAGGTTTCCCATCAGGCATTTAGTCTCCCCCTTTCCCTTCCCCTTTGTGACACTATTCCTAACATTTGAGTATCACCCCTTAGCCCATGTAACTTAGGTGGTTTGGGGAAGCCATGAAGGCAGGTCATGGTTGGCTGGAGCAGGACATCCCACTGTTCCATAAAGCAATATACCAGCCTATCATGTGTGGTTCAACAGTTAAGTAAGCGTGGTATTTGGAAATAGGGCAGTATCCCCTAGATGTAGACCTTTTGTTTACACTAACCCAAGTGGTAATTCTTTTGGATGTAGTGCAAGATAAAATTGTTCTTTCTGTATTAAAACAGATGGAAGGATTTGCACAGTCCAAGGACGATACGTCTAGTTCTACATCCATTCAGCTGTTAATGATCCTTTTTCCTTTCGGCCTTGGAAAAGTTAATCATGTTCATAAAGTCAAAATTTTATTTCTAAAATGCAACTCAATGATTTCACTATCCTTTATGAACAAAAACACCACTAATACTCCAAGAGATGAAGAGAATTGAGCCTAACTATATGTTTGCATGGATATCATGAAATACTTCATGCCATAATAGAAAAGGTAGTTTTTCCAATGAGTAGTCAAGAGACCTATATTATAGTTCAAACTCATTAAAATTAACATACACAATATATTGCAATATAACACAAGTCTTACGGTAGGGATGAGCGAGACAGGGGCTGTTTTCTTTCTATAAATCAAATGAGCTGGTCTACAATGAGTGGCCAGATTATTATGACCACCCCATCAGTACTTCATTGACACTTCCAAAAATACTGAATATTGAAAACTTCCTAAGCAAATACTCTCAAGGTTTTATTATTATTATTATTATTATTATTTGCATAACTAATTCACTTCATTGTACTGATGGGGTGGTCATAATAATCTGGCCACTCAGTGTATTTAGTCCCTATTGACAGTAGCCGAAGATTCTACTATAGTACTCAGGTTACAGTATTGCCATCCAAAAGAGTTAGCGACCACAATAGCTCATTAAAATATACAGTGATTCTTCTATTTTAGCTCATTATATATTAAACAGAAATATTCAAAAAACAAAAATGTGCCTAGCTGGTGTGACTCAGTGGTTGGGCATCAACCTATGAACCAGATCAGTTTGATTCCCTGTCAGGGCACATGCCCTGGTTTCGGGCTCCATCCCCAGTAGGGGGCATACAGGAGACAGCCGATCAAGGATTCTCTCTCATCATTGATGTGTCTCTCTCCCTTCTTCTCTGAAGTCAATCAAATATTTTAAAAAATGCTATAAAACTCATGTTAGTAATAGAAACCTACAAAGTTTATAACTATGCATCATACAGAATTACCTCATAATATTTTTATGTTTAAAGTAGTCCTTTTAAAATACAGTACTTACACGTTTATCTTTCATACATTTATATTTGTCTTGGCAAATGCTTATCTGTATAAATCTTATGACCACTTTTTAATAAATACAAAAGAATACAAACATCTATGAAATCTGGACAAATACATTGCCAGTCAGTATGATCATCTAGATTCTTAGTTTAACTCATTCAGTTACTATAAAGATCTCCACGGAGCTGAATTTAATAGTGTACAATAGCACATCACTGCCCTCTGATGGTACCACACTAATATATAATTTTAAACTCAAGCAAAATAATTATTATAATGTGAAATATCTGTTAAAGTTTATAAAGCTACACAAGTAAAAAATAAATTAGGAAAAATTAAATCTTTTCTACAAATATTCATTATAGTAAGTTATAAAAATTTACAGTGTTCCTTCACATAACCCCTTCAAATGATTTTTCAAGATTTTCCCTGATGATCAGTTTAAAGGCACTAAATCCATACAGTTTAAGCAAAAGTCTTCATTACATAATGAAACAAAAGGAAATATAAGGCTAAGCAGCACAACTATAAATAGCTAGGAGGAAAAATGAAATTGTAAATTTTAATATTTGAGATGTATGCAAAATCTTCACATGCGATGCAGATATATTCACTATTTAAATTTAACTATTATCCACCTCTTGCAAAAGAAGCAAATGTAGGAAAACAAGTATTCAATGAAAGTTCTGGCCATTTTCTAAGTCTGGAAATCAAAAGCATGTTTAATATTTCCATACTGAAAGAGCACTGCGTTTAATGGCACTAACATTACAAAGTCTAAATCTCCATTTATTCAAAGAGAGTAAGTTAAATGGAGGATGTCCACTTGATTGCAGATACTAGTTACTGGCAGGAGACTCTCACTCATATTATCCTTTATGAAACGGTCCACTAGAAAATAAAAACATACAGAGAAAAGTAATTTTATTTAGGGTTACATAATAACATGTAATATGTGAAGAAACAGGCAAAGAGAGGACGAATGGGATATGCCAGCGATTTTCAACCAGTGTGTTGCGGCACACAGGCGTGCCACGAGAATTTTTAAAACACATGATACCTGACTATTTAGTCAGGGGCACTGACCTCTTTTCCCGTAGACTGTCAAATAAAAAAATGACAACAGCCAACACAATAGCCATCTGGTGTGAATGAGTCAAAATTATACTTTTTTTTTGTCTTATTGGCAAAAAATATAATGTATTTTTTGATGTGCCACAGAATTTTAGTAATTCGTTTGTGTCCCATGAGATGAAAAAGGCTGAAAGTTGCTGGGATATGCAAATGCAAACTAATGGCAGTGCTTAGTAAAATTTCACTTTGCAGTCAGTGTCTGAAAGAAGATATATGATCATTTAAAAATAGAAAAATATCTGGTCAAATTAATGGGTAGCTAAATTCGAAATATCCAATAATCAGTGAAGGAAAAACCCCCACAAAAACACCCACCAATCAAAAACAACAATGAAGTTACAAAATGAAAATAAAGGAATTCTTGTTTGAGGCACAGAACCAAGAAATGGTAGAAACTATTAAATAATGGTTTGGCAGTCTTTTCCTTGCTTGAGTTGAGAAATTATTCCACTTGTTGTTCTGATTAAATCCGCAATAATAAGTTCTAAAACAGCCGCTGGGATAGGACCAGAGATATTTTAAGTCTATTGGGTAGTATTTTCCAAGTATATCGAAGATCTATTATTGGGGCTATATATATGTTTAAAAAATTAAGGTTTATTCCAAATAAACTTGCTTTCCTTTATTGCAGAACGTCTTAGAGACTTGATTATCCTTTTTAATTTTCAAGAAAGGGATACTGTATACAATATAGTATTCAGAATTTTAAACAATTTTTTAGCACGGGACTCTCTTTTTCACAATGTATCTATCTCTTAGGACTAGAGTTAAAAACACTAGAGCAGCGATTCTCAATCTGGTTTGACATTAGATGACCTTGGGGAGCTTAAACCAGTACTGATGGCTACACCCCACTCTCAGAGATTTTGTCAGCCTTGTTTGCAAGCTCCTCCTAAGACTGTAATGTGCAGCCAGGGCTGAGAGCCACTGTACTCGAGGTCTGCCATTACTCCTGTAGCGGTGTAGCCTGTACTGATGCTAGTCTGCATCCTGATGCCATCATCATCTTGACTTCTTAAGATAAGGCTGCCTTCCCAAAGGACAGTGCTGAATAATATCCTGGGAAGAGGCAGAGCTAGACAGGAGACGACTATGTGGAGGGCTTGCAGACAGGAAAAGAACATTTTCCTCATACCATGGAGTCGGGTCAGATCAGGAGGACTCTGTCTACATTATAGGACATTCCAGGCCAGCCTGAACAACAGGCCTGATAGCAGTCCTTAAAGAACTCTAGGCCAAAGGGATTGAGAATTAAAGTTATTCTCTGCCTTGCATTTTCCCTTCTGTTATCCTTGAGCCCCCTACATTTCATTATGACCTTAATGGAATACTCTGGATGAGCCGTGCATGTGGTCAAGGGGAAAGCAGTATGTCCCTTAAAGCCAGTGTGTTGATGGCAGAAGTGGTTAGGAATATTCCATGGAGAAATGACAGTGGCAACGGTAGTTGGTTTATGAGAATGAGCCACTTTTACTGGGAAAATCTTCTCACCACTGCCCAGTCTGATGGCCTTGAGGGCCATTTTCATTAGGGAAGCCAGAGAGATTTCCTGTAAGAACAACATTCAAAGAAATAAAGGTACTAAATTCACATTGGGATGTTTTTCATTGTGAGCTCTTCTGAGGGGACCAGAAGCAGTATAAAGCCTAATTTATGTTTAATTTATAGGCTTCAGGGCATGGAAGCTTTAGGGCTAATTAAGACAGCCCTTTCTTTCGTAGAATTTAAGAGCTGATGTTAAATTTGTTAGCTGAGGAGTTATAAAATAAGTACCTTCTTAATTCTGATGAAATATAAAGTATCATTTTCTTATAACATTGTATGTGGCTTTAAGTCAGTAATTCATTTTTTTTCTACTATGAAATCAATCTCAGCATCATTATCAGTCCTGTAATTTAATTTTCACAAATTGTTTTTGAGAAACCTCTATGAAGTAAAACTGATGACACAGATCTTTATCGCAACAGAATACTGAAAGTAAGCATCTATACTTTTCATAAAGTATTTTACCTTCTATCTCCCAACTGTTTTACCTTATATTAAATTTATTCTATTCTATTGTCAGGGGTATATTAAAAAACTAAGCAAAATGGTCATGGCTATTTACTTTAATATTGAAACCAATTACTTTATACATTTATAAAGTTAACAATCAAAAAGTGTTTTAATTTCACTAAAGTGAAATTAGATCAAGTCTCATACAATTATAAAACACAGGTAAATCTTCTCTCTATGTGACATTCCTGAGCCAGAATCACATCTGCACTTAGAATGCTCCTAAATTGCCTGCCCCACAAACATGTATGTATTTATATATAGTTTTGAGAGTAAACTGAATTGAGTGAATCGGCTAAATAAGTGGTATATGAACCCTATTTTTCTAAGTCTTAACATGTAAAATAAAACCCAGATGCTCCTAATAGGTTGCAAAGATCCCCAAGTTCAAGGGCCTCGTTTAATTTGTCCACCATTATATTTCCAGTGACAAGAGCTGCAATTGTTACATGGGGAGGTGCATGTGTCACACTCACTCGGGTACACCCTACTGCCCAAATTAACATTTCCATAACTATGGTATGAGTGACAATGAGAAGAGCAAAAATATCAAATCACTGAGTAAACACATTGTAGGTTACAAAAACAAATTTATAGTGTAACAGAATTTAGTAGGATTGATGTATAAGTTGAAACGAATAATGATGTTTCAAATGACACTGAATTTGGGTGATTTTGACTCCTTTCTACTTTTCCATAATATTTGAGTTTTCTACACATTTAAGATTAGTATTAATTATATAAAGTATTAAGATAATCAGGAAAACTCCATTTGAATTTTGGGAAAAAGGAAGTAAAGCTATTCCAAGTAAATGTATTATTCACGCTTTTAAATTAATTCATAATGTTCTGGCAAGCCATTTCAAAAGAACATTATTGAATGGATTGCTACTTAAGTTTTTTAAAATTCCAGGTCAATTTAAATCTTAACTAAATTTTAATACTTACTCTAAGTCCACCTTCAGGTGGAGCCCCTGATGTAGCGATTTGTTTTTCTATTTTTTCCTTCCGCTTTCTCTTTTGTTCCACAGACTGAGCATCCAAAATGCCCCGAGATGCAGCCTTTAAGAAATTTAAAGGGCACAAAAACAACAATAAAAATTAGTATCCAAGCATTTTTTTGTCTGTTTGTTTTTTGCTTTGGAAGCGGGGTATTGGTCTATTTTGGTAACAAAGAATTAGACTATTTCTACAACAGCTTTATGTAAAAAATATTATCATTTTTTCATTTGGTATTTTGAAACTGTACACATTTTTCTCCTAAACTTATTTCATATCTGTCAATGTGTTATAAGGCATGGTCATTTTATCCCAGGGAATACTGCCATTAAAGGGACATCTCACATAGAATACATATGTATAATAATTTTCATATATTAGATAATACAAGTGCATTGATGTAGCCTATAGAAACACAGAGATCGTTTTGAAAAATAATTACCTTTAAATATAAATTTAATAGATATGGATAATGGATAAATACTACTAGTCATAGACATCTATCAAGAATAAAGTACCAAATTCTCTAAATAGGTAAAATTTCATTTTTAGTTTCACCTCCTTCTGTCTTCTTTCTGCAGCCTCTGCAAGCTTTGCTCTTTTCTCTTCCTAAGGAAAATATGTAACAAATATGTTTTAAAATAAAACCAAACATTAGCATGGATAATTTACATACCTATCTATATCTTATACGTAATATAACAGTTCATAGAAAAATATTTAGTACTGCCCCAAAATGTTCTAAGAGTGCCAGTACTTACTTTTATAAAATAATTGACTTTCTGAATCTCATTCTCACAATTAATGAACACACCTTCAAATAGGAGCATGCTAAAACATATATGATACATACTGTATGTCATATATTATATGTACAAATATATATATACACACACACACACACATAACACAACACAGGTTGGTCTATAAAATAATCTATTTCCTTGGGCTCAAAAAAAAAGGCTTACAAGCAAGTCAGGACAATAAAACAAATAACCTTTAATAATACAAGGTTTAATACTGCCAATTATAAGGGAGTTTGAAGGAGGTTGGTGTTTTTAAGAAAGGTTCATGAATGAAGTGGGAGAATCTCACTGTGTATGACAGGAAGAACTGTAGGAAATGATGAAAGGTACTGTTCTAGGTTGGGAAACAATAATTTTCTATATTATGTATTAATTATAAAATGTTAAAATAATATGACAGTAAGTAGCATTCTCTTGGGAGCTATGCTAGTAATTCCCTTTTTTTTCCATACCAATTCATTCATTGTACAAATACAGTATTTACTGAGTACCTGTCATGTCTATGGAACCTGCCTCGGTGCTGAGGATACAGCAATGAAAAAACTCAGATAAATGTTTCCACCCAAATGAAACTTAAAATTACAACGAGGGCACACAGTCAAATATAGTCAAGTAAATAAGTACCAGGTGGTAGTAAGTAGTTGGGAAATAGGAAGGATAAGAAAGAGAAGGATGGGTGGTATAGTCGGTGATCTATTTTATTTAGTTGATCAAGAAAAACCTCAAGAATAAAGTAGCACTCACTAGTGAACCAGATGGTTATCTATGGGGATGGGTGGGGTTTAACAAATACTGACAGATTAGGATTTTATCAACAGCCAGATAAACAAAATTAACAACATTTAAAAGCAACTGTAGCAAGAAAGACAAGGTGAACTTTCTGGTTCCAACTTCCAGGTCATTTTTAGTACCTATAATCCAATGGCTGAAGAGTTAATGCCCTTTCTTAAATAACTAATGTCTTTCAACGAATTTTTAGCTAGACAGGAATGTAGGTTTTCTGTTATCAATTCCCAGTAAGGAGTATTCATGTAAAGATACTGTTAAAAACTGAAAGCTACGAAAAGTATAAATGCAGTGTACCACAAACCACAAATCGCTAAGTTACATTTGGATTTCCAATAAACAACGAATAATTCCTAGAATAAGTAACCCCCATTACTGTGTGCGAGAAATCTACTTTTAAAGTGCATTCCTTGTTTATCTGACAATTTAAATGGGGGTCCTGTGTTTAATTGCTAAATATGGCAACTTTACAAATTATAAACTCTGTACCGCATAAAACAATCTTTTTTTTTTTAAAGGAAGGACGTAAAGAGATTACTAATACAATATCCAAGAAAGCTCAGGAGTAAGGGACTTTATTAAGCACCTTCTTTAAACAGTTGATACAGACACAGGAAAATGCACATCTCCCACTAGAAGACTCAACACTCCAGTTCGAAAAAAAAGAGGAATTTCATTTGCACCCCCGTCTCCCGCGTCGCCAAGAATGGCCCGCCCCCACACCGCCCGCGTCGGGTCCCACCAACTTCCAATTTGGCCCAAGTCGGCGAAAAAGACCCAGGAGTTGCCTTCGGGCAATTTTTATGTAACCAAAGTGGGGAGACCACGGAGGCGGCGGCCCAGGTGCCGCGGGCA